ATCTGCTATAGGAACCACAGATCTGCTATAGGAACCACAGATCTGCTCACTTTTAGTCGATTAAATAAAACGAGTTCTGACTACGACCCTGAGCTACGGTTAAACCCGTCCTGTCAGAACCAGGCGGACCTCTCAGGAAGGTTCTGTTTAATGCTGCTGGTCAATAAGGACACGGCGGTCACACTTCCTGCTTCCAGGATCATTTTCTTGGCTTAAGGCAGCGGTTAAAGAATCGTTCAGAACACGGGCCTTTATCAGAACTTCAGGAGAATCAAACACTTCAGGTTACAACGGGGATCATTAACTGGTTATCTTTGGCTCTTGTGGTCCGTCTGACATCAAAGCAGGTTAAAGTGAAGTTTTCTGTCATTAAAAGGATTTAAAAGTGACCCCCGATCTGGACCCGACCCGTCTCCTCCAGTCGTCAAACATCTCCGTCTCCGGGCGCCTCCTCCTCCAGGCGGGACTTCTTGGCGTGAGAGTGGGACGAGTCCAGGAAGTTCTCCTTGTCCTCGGGGTCTTCCATTTGGGCCGCCCACTTGGCGCCACAGCTCCTCTCTCGGACGGGCCGGGCTGGGACCGGCTCCGGGTTCAGGTACAGCTGCTGGTGCCACAACCAGGGGTGGCTGAGGCACTCGGCGGCGCTCGGCCTGTCCCTGCGGTCAGAGACAACAGAACCGTCAAAATCACAGATCAGCTGCTGCCACGAGAGGTGGGCTGTCATGTAACTGTTAGCAAAATATCTCCTGCAGCACTGGACAGCAGTGATTACTGGATTTCTTTGAGTTAAGATGGCTGCCACAGCTAATGGACTTCGGCAAACACTAAAGAGGAACGTTGGCTAAACGTTTGTAATCAACACAGAACTCTGGATCTGGACCAATAAACACCAGATTACTGAGCATGCATCAGGATACCAGATTATATATATTTTCATGTCTTAATAAAGAATCGATGCATAAAAGACATCACAGGCTGCTGAACTGGAATTAGCATAATGCTAACCTAACATTAAAACTGCCATAGGAAAGCTAATGGGATTAGCATCGTGTTTAAAAGTGGAAAATGTCCACAAATAAATGTTTTAAAGACCTTAATGATGTCACAGTGACTTCAGGTGTTAGACAGGTATGATCCAGAGTTCAGTGAAAACTGACTGCAGCATGTTTATACTACAGGAAACTACGGCAGCTCTGCTGGGACAAACATCTCCGCAGCTCTCACTACTTCAGGTGAAACAGATCAGAGAAATGTTTTAATTCTGTGGATCTGTCGTTCAAACAGAACCCGACTGGACTCAGGTTTTCTGTCGGACCCCTGAAACAAAACGCCAGGTCCAAAGTTGACTCGAACTCACTCCGGAGCTTTGACCAGCAGCTTGCGGATGAAGTCCACGGAGAGCTCGGAGACCCTGGAGAAGGACTCGCTGCTGTAGTCCACGTTGACCTGGGACACGTTCAGGTACGTCTCCTGCTTGTCGTCTCCGGCGAACGGAGACTCGCCCGTCACCAACATGTAGGCGATGACGCCGACGCTCCTGAACAGGACAAACAGAAGAGTCAACTGGACCGTCGGCGCCGGACTGACATGCAGCTTTTTGATTCAAGGTTCTGTCGGGTCTGGACTTCTAAACACACAAACGAGGCTCGAACTAAAAGGGTCAGGCTGCAGTTATAGAGGTTTTACTGTGGATGTGGGTCCTGCAGGGTGACCTCAGGCCCGGTTCTGGAAGCATGGACTCACCACAGGTCAGTCGCTGTTGTGATGGGCTCATAATTCAGAACCTCTGGAGCTGAAGAGACAAAAACCAACATCAGAAATCCAGAAACGCTCCTGGACTGAGCTGCAGGCGGGAGTCTTACCTACGTACTCCGGCGTGCCGATAATCTCCCGCAGCTCTCCGGCCCCACCCAGACGGCGCGCCAGGCCGAAGTCCACGATCTTGATGTCCCCAGGAGGGGACAGGTGGGTCAGCAGGATGTTCTGGGGCTGGACAGGAAGAAAAGACGGCACAGACGATGAAACGTGGACCCGTGACGCTGAACGAACAGCAGCTTACAGAAACACAGACCCTGACCTCCTCACAGTGCGATACTAAATGAAGGCCCGCGGACCAGAACCAAGTCTCTCCTGGACCCGGACTGTCTGTTAAACCTCATCAGGTTAAATATTTTCATATTTGTGTAGCAGGAAGTGTCTGCATCGACTGGTTGCTCATTAACAAGACTCCTGGTGACCTCTGACAGATTATAAATAATCTGGATTATTTATGGTTTTATCAGATCAAAAATGGAGGTTGGTCGTTCTGGGGCTCTTTATCACAACTTACAAAATAAACCAAACTGACTTAAAATAAAGAAACGTTCCATCCATTATCTTTACCCGCTTCTTTTTCAGGTCGCGGGGGTCACTGGTGCCCATGTCCAACCATCACTGTGAGAGGCGGGGACACCCTGGACATCCAGTCCATCACCGAGACACAGAGACAAACAACCATTCAGTCTCTCACTCACACCTAGGGACAATTTAGAGTCACCAATCAGCCTAACATGCATGTTTTTGACTTTAAAACCGGAGTACCTGGAGAAAACCCATGCGTGCACAGAGAGAACAAGCAAACTCCACCCAGAAAGGTCCCGGGCCGAGATTTGAACCGGCGACCTTCTCGCTGAGAGGCGGAAACTGAGCCACCGTGCCGCCGAAATCAAAGGTTCAGAACCAAAATATAAACCGTGTCGCGGAAAAAGAAAACTGAATTGGTGAATCTGATGTGTGCTGTCGGTGTGCGACACCTTCAGGTCCAGGTGAACCAGGTTGGTCTGGTGGAGCTGGTGGACCCCCTCCAGGGTCTGTCTGATCAGACGGGTGATTTGGGCCTCGGGCAGCAGCTCCTCGGACACGCACAGGTCAAAGATCTCTCCCCCCGCCGCGCTGCAGGGAGGAAACGGGACGGTTAGGAGGCCCAGGGAAACTTCTAAAGTTTTTATTTTGAAAGACGTAGCTTTAATTCTGAAAGATGGGGTTAAGAACAGCAGTGAGATTTATGAAACCGTGCGAGTCTTCATTTATGAGAGCAGCTGCTCGGACCGCCCGTCCCCTCACGTAAAGAAAATACAACCTCAGATTTCAACTCTGGGTCCAAACAGAACGCATGGAGTGAGGCAGAAACCTCGACTGAATCATTGGACTCGTGTCCGAGACAGGAAGTCAAATGTGATTCACAAGTTCAGCTCCTCCTGGTCTCTCTGGAACGCTGGGACCAGTTCAGTGAGGAGGTCCAGAAGAATGGCCCGGCCTCTACCAGATTAAAAACCAGGTTTGGTCGTGGACCAGCAGGTCCGTGTGATCCCAGAGAACTCGCTGCTTTCGGTTCTTGGGAGGTGCGTAAATATACCCACAACTTCCCAGAGTACCCTGGACTCTGGTTCCTCTGGACCTCTTCAGGTTCTAAGGTGTGGAATCTGGACCGGGTCACTTGTGGGTTTTGTTCTGGTTCTGTTTGTTTTGCAAACACATTGAACTGCACTCACTACTCCAGGATGAGGATGATGTCGTGGTCGGTCTCGTGCGCGGCGTGCAGGTTGACGACCCGCGGGTTGTTCCGGGCCAGCTCCAGGACGGCCATCTCGTGGACCGCCTCGCCCCGGCAGTCCCGCCCTCGACGCCTCTTCCGTAGGAACTTGGCGGCGAACGCCTTCCCCGAGGTTTTCTCCACGCAGCGCTTCACCACCGCGAACTTCCCCCTGAGGAGGAAGAGAACATTTCAAAATAAACTTCAGAAATTAAAAGAAACAGAACAGACTTTTATTCATATTTATACTTTTTAATCCCTTTAAATTGAGTCTTGGTGAATAGTTGACCCATAATTTAGTTTTATGTTTAATAAAATGTGGTTCTGGAAACGCAGCAGAACATCAGGACCGAACGTTTCCTCCGGTCATTTACCGGTAATAACGTTGTTCTTTAAACTTTTTATCTTGTTATAATAAAACACGAAGGTCCCATCAACCGTTAACGAACCGTCATCGTTAATGCTCAGTATGTTTGTGGCCCCTCACATTGAAGAAGTCCTTTGGATGAAACGTCTCAGCAAAAAAAGAAACCGTCCAGATGACTTCACTGAACATTGTTGGATTTTTATCTGGATTATTGAGCATGAACTTTGGTGTTTAACGTTAACAAAACATAAATGTTTACAGGTTTTGCGAACACGACTTTAAACCGCTTTAAGAATTTAAACATTATGAAGTTTATTTTAGGTTTTATTCTGCAATAAAACCTAAAAGTTAAATAAACAATATTCTCTGTCACGTGTCAGAATAAAAACACATTAAACTCATTTTATTAAGACTTTAATCGCCGTGTTGGGAACGATTCTCAGCTACTACCACAGCAAAACGTAGCTCCATATCTGTAACTGAATGAGCTGGGGTCAGCTGGCTGTGGCGGCCATATTGAATCAGGTCTACAGTTGTGGATGCACACGATCCAGTAGTTCAGGAGATAATTTACCAACAAACCAACGCAGACACAATATCTTCAAATATTCCTCTTAATGAAGGACAGTTAAAAAGTTTTAAACAACATAAATAAACAACCTGCTGCATCGAGAATAAAAAACTGTTTCAGATTAAAGTTAAGCTCCTCTCGTCTCAGAGCAGCTGTAAAAGATGACTCCAGTCATTTTTAATAAATCCTGACAATAATTTATCAGTTCTAATCTGTTTTTATGACAACTAATGAACTTGTTTATTCTTGTTTTATCAGCTTCGAGGCCGCTGAATTTAATTCCTGCGTTTTATCAAACGCCCAGCACTTCTTTTGGCCCGGCCCGTTTTCGTAACAAAGATTCAAGCTCCAGTTTCTGTTTGAGACGTGGTTCCGGTCACAGTGGGGCGAGTTATTAAAGGTAACGGGGTTTCACCGCGCTGCTTCCCGTTTCTGACATGAACAAAGTTCTTCTTTTCTGAAGGTCCGTTTCCCACGCGGGACGGTTCCCTTCTTCCTCCTGACCGATCACGACGCGTCACGTCGAACACACCTGAGCGTGTCGCAGTTTGGACACACACACAAACACACGACAGACGTCTTGCTGCGTCGTCGTGGTTACGGAGCACAGTCCAAGGTCCAAACATGGCCGTCGACTCCAGAACGCCTGACCCGAGTCGTCCAGGGTTTAAATGCAGTCGTGGGAGGAAAAGTCACACACCTTAAAGTTCTGGGGTTTTACACAACTCTTCAAACCTGAACTAAAACCACACAACGGACTCCAGATGACCAGAACCAAAGGGTTTTACAGAACAATAAACATGACATAACAGCAGTCATGACACATAAAACAATAAAAGACTTAAAAACTAAAGGACATCTCACAGGGTGCCGAAGAGACGGGTTTAAAAGTGATTTAAAATGTTCTAAATGTCTCTGAGCACTGTATGGTCTGCCCTTCAGGTTGAGTTTAATCTATAACATGTTTCTCACTTCTTAAGGTTGATGGGCCCCAGATACCGGTAGTTTGTGAATGACCTCTGACCCTTCCCACACCGATGGGCAGCAGCTTCACTAACGGTCATTGCTGGTGTCTGCCCGCCTTGGCGTTGTGCTATCACACACCTGTCTGCTCAGGAGCAGGAAAAAACTTTTAGTTTTATAAATAACGGGTCATGGGACCTGTTGTGTGTTTTTGGACACATACAGATGTTAGATGTGAGTAGTTTCAGCACCTGGTGAAGACCTGATTAGTTTTGATTAGTCCTGATAAGAGGTTCAAAGACCTGATGGGTGCAAAATCTAAAAACTTTTATCAAGATTGTTAATCAAAAATACAATAAAAAAAAATACCCGGATTAAGATAAATGATCAGAACTCCTCTCAGAACCAGAACCATCAGGTTTCTCTCACCTCCCCAGCTCTCCAGTGACGTCATAGACGCTCTCCATCGGCTCCGGGCTGATCCGGGTCTGGGAGTCCCCCAGCAGCCCGGCGGGCAGACCGCTTCGACTGTCCAGCCGCCTCCGGGACATCATCCTCCCGTCTCCGCCTTCGGTTCCTGCCGCTTCCTGCTAAACCCCGGTCCGACCCGCCTCGGCTCTTCCTTCTTCTGCGAGTTTAACTTCGAGTAAATAGGAGAAGTAAGCCAAGCACCGCCCGCGTGACGCCGGCTAACATGCTCGTGTTTACCGAGCGCAGCTAGTTTCTCTCCGGTTAGCTCAATGGTCGCTAAAGTTCGACGACAATGAGTGTCTCCCGGTCCGAAACTCAAAGAAAAGTAACGTAAAGCAGTTTTTCTCGGCTCAGCCTAAAACAACCGACTAAAACGCGAAGCGTGGAGGTAATTCCAGTATATAAATGACCCAAACTTCTGCCGAGGGCGACGGTAAATCCGTTTATCCGGAGCGTTTTCGATCATTTTTACATCTCTGTGTTTGACACAGAGGACACGTCACTGCGCGACGCATGCGCACTGCTGAGTTCGGATAAAACCCGGAAATAATTTGAAGTAAAAACTACAAACGGCCGTTTAAGATAATAAAACTAGATTAAATCAAAATCCAACAAACTAATTCCACCTTTGTTTGAATAAGTTTGTGCCTGGCATCCCACAAATAGTTAATATCGTTGTTTTGTTGTGTTTACATCTCAACTGCTCTGACCTTCAATTTTAAAGATGTTTTACAATTTAAACATACTTCTTTGAAATAAAGTTCAAAACTTTAAAAAAGATTTTACATACATTAACCGGGCAAGGTTTTTGAAACTAAAATGGGTTTGTCTTTGGTTTCTGTTTTATCTTAAGATTTTATTGCAGAATTTTAAGGTTCTGAATGATCGGACTTCCTGGTACCATGTGCACATCATAAAGTCTGATCCAGGCAGGTCAAGCAGATTCAAACACAAAACAGCTCAGACCACACATTCAGCTCTTAAAACAGCTTAAGCTTTATAGGTGTATTCACTTTTTAATTAGAGGCCTTTTTTACTGTCAGTCTTACTGATTTACTTTTTTTTTTTTTTTTTTTTTAAGGGTTTCCCAAAACCAGTAGTTTTACATGAATGTGTTGAAACGTTTTTGTGAGTTGATATACAATTTTTTGGGTACATGTTACTTTACAAATGTGATTTTATGGTTATAGAATAAATATAGTTTGAAAATACATTTTATTTGTAATTGTTCACTTATTTAGACTTATTTAAATAGGTAGATGTCCCAGTCTGACTGCAAGTACTGGATCGGACAATCAATGTATTTTTTATTGTTCAATGTCAGAGGAGCTGACCCACACTGCCCTAATCTTTGTCCTTGACCTCTGGTCACGGTTTTACATCAGTACTAAGCAAAGGGCCTCCCAAAACTAGTAGGCCATGGGACACCAGTGAGTTGGTGGAATCCAAGTGGGCTGCCAGGCACCAGTGGGTCATAGGACCCCACTGTTCCACCAGACACCAGTGAGTCACTGGACCCCAATGGTCCACCAGACACCAGTGAGTCACTGGACCCCAATGGACACCAGTGGATTTCCTGACACTAGTGGATCACAGGACCCCAATGGATGACCAGACACCAGTGGGTCACAGGACCCCAATGGACACCAGTGGATTTCCTGACACTAGTGGATCACAGGACCCCAATGGACCACCAGACACCAGTGAGTCACTGGACACTAGTGGGTCACAGGACCCCAATGGACCACCAGACACCAGTGGGTCACAGGACCCCAATGGACCACCAGACACCAGTGGGTCACAGGACAGTAGGTGTAAAGTTGAAAGTAGGCGGACCAGTATATAAATATATACTGGTCCGCCAACTTTCAACTCTGAAAAAATAATCTGATAACTTGTTTATTGATTTTAATTAAAAGCTTTGTGTGAAAAATGCTATGCTAAAGAGCTCAAACCACACCCAGTGTCCGCCATTTTGAGAACCGAAAAACAGGAACGAGAGACAGCCCATGTCACGTCAAGGGGCCTCCCTCCCATTTTTCTTAAAGAGACACGCTGCTCGCTCCCTCACTATCCATCCTTCGGCTCAGTCTTATACTGCCATGCAGTGGTCAAAAAAGGTATTACACTCAAAATAAAATTAGCCAACATTTCTTCTTAAATTTGACAGTAATTACTAATTATTGTCAAATTTCAAACAATATTATCGTTTATCGCAATAATTTCTGAGCCAATTAATCGCCCAGTAAAATTTGTTATCGTGACAGGCCTAACTTTAATTTACTTATGGTTTGTAATCTGCAAACCTGCGCTGGACACATGAAAACATTTGACTGAGACTCTATCGGCTGATCCTTTATTTGAAAGGACTTATCGTATCGGGAGACGTAAAAATGTTGACCGGGACATCATTTAGATCACTGTGGCGTGGTTCTATCAAGTAGAAATGCATTTTAAACGTTAACTTGTTCAAAACTGGTTAAAAATTGTTCCTGCCAGGGAAATAAGAGCACTTGTTTATGAAAACGTTCCACTTGTTCTCTTTTATTACAATCATGGGAGTGAAATGGAGACACAGGAGCTTTGCATAGAGTGGAACTCTGAAAAGTGGAGTCGGGTACGGTTGGAGATGTTCTGAAAGAGACGAGAGGTGCAGCCGAGCAGCATCTTCACCGTTCCTCTGCGCCGCAGGAGCAGCTCCGGTCAAAAACACGCCAACGAGAAGCGTTGCTGCCAAAAACAAACCGAAGTTCTGAAAGAATCCGAGGAGTGGGACGAGTTGGTTGGACGGGAACAGAGACAACACCTAACGGTTGACGATGCAAGCCCCAAACCTTTGGTACATTCGGTGCAAAATATATATATTTTTACACACAACAAGACAGACGAACACGAACATTTATATAAGAGACGATCGGAAACATAATCCATGTGCTCCTTGGAGCTCAGCCTCATTGATTCATCGCTCCGCTGCGAGCAAAGAACCATCAACCTCTTACTAAGTTGGGCAGACACGCACACGTGCAACATTTCAGAAACCCACCGCCCCACTGTCACAGCGACACGGTTTCCAGTCTTAAAGCACTTAGATGAACACAGGTATGACAGTGCCAGGTGAGCGTAAGGCCGCAGGCTTTCCAGCGAGCGCCACGATCAACGTGACGCCTCCGTCCCGCCTCCCTCACCCTCGGCTGTATCCTCATGCACAAAGCTAGTAAGGACGGTGCGCTGCGCTATTTCAGCATGCAATATCGAGCTACATCACAACACACCACCTAGAAGGTCCTGTCGGGTGCAGCTCACGGAGCTGCTGACCGGGCAGATCCTGCATGCAGTATTAGACTGGGAGGTGTGGGGAGGGGGGGGAACTCCAGCCTCTGTGGTCCAACAGGTGTCTGTACACGGTCGGTGCAAACGTGCATGCAGCCCCGGAAAAAAGAAAAACAAACTTTGGGGGTTCCTGTCGGGATTGTGTGACTAATGTGATGGATGTCACGTTTTTCTAAAATCCAACAACTTCTGCTTCAGGATTGTTAGTATTAGAGAACACGACCCCCCCCCCCCCCCCCCCAGCGATGTGAAAAATAAAGTCCAACCTCTTTCAGTTTGAAGGTTTTACATGTCAGGACGAATAAAACTCATCTGGTCTGTACGAGCTTCTAAAACCATTCAGCTCGAGTGAACAAACGCACAACAGATTCCACCGTGTCGTTATTTATGAAACTAAAACCGAACATTAAAGCTGTGAGTGAAGAAGCGGTTCCAGCCTCTCACCCTGAAGGTCAGACCGCGCAGTGCTCAAAGAAATGACTACAGGCCTCAGTCAGCAGGTCAAAGGTCAGGGCAGCTCAACTTATAGGTTGGGAAAGTTTCATCTGAAGGAGCAAAGACTTACGGACCAGAACCAGACCAAAGAGGTGTTTACCCAGAATGCACTGCAGCAAACAGCTCCTCCCAGCTAGGAGTGCCCAACCACTGAGGCAACAACCGTCAGTCCGTGGATCTTTTGGTACCAACATGTTTTAAACCGCAGCAAAGCTCCAAGCTGTTGGATCAGAAGCTGGAACCAGTTTTTAAAACACTTTCTGCATTTTGTTTAATTTTTTGGTAATTCTATGTTACGTGCTGTTGCGTTTACTTCATTTCATGATCGTCCGACAGCTAGATTTTTTTTAATTCTGTCCTTACATGCAAAGTTTACAAACTGAAAGAGAACACTTTGTTTGAAATTTGAAACTCTCTACATTCAGATTTGTTACATTCAACTCTTTCTCTGGATTAGATTCCATATGTGACAAAAAAAAAAAAGTTGTGTTTGATACTCGGGCGGTAAATGAGTTGTAGAACGTGGACAGCTTTGTGAGCGGTGGTCCATCTCTTTCAGGAATAAAACGGTAAACACAAGTCCCATCGTCCCGCTTTGATAGAAAACCTGAAGGGGAAACGGCGGCTCGGGGCGTGAATATAAAGAAAATATCACATTTGTGCAAAAAGTGACAGATGTGCGTGTTGTAGTTTATAAATGTGGGACACAGTTTTAAGGTCCAGGGAGGGGAAAAGGAGGTTTATCTGCAGCTGAGCGCGTGGAGATAAAGCACACGAGTGGCTCAGTGAGCTCAGGTTAGTGACAACAAACAAAACTGCACATTTCTTCTGGTTCTCCGTCTTCTGTAAGTCAAAGTGGGAGACAAAGGCAGAGAGTCGGAGTGAGATCAAAACGCTGAGTGATGGAAAAGCTAAAAAACCCCAGCAGTTATCCACAGAGGGTCGGTTGTCTTTAGAAGATCTCATCTTCTCCTGAATGAGAAACGTAAGGAGTCCAGATGTATCTGAGTGGAGCTACTCCAAGCCGAACGTGCTGGTTTCTTCCACGGCGGTTACCAGCTTCTCGTAGAGCATGGAGAAGGACGGGTAGGGCGGGAGGTCCAGGCGGTTGAAGCAGGTGTGAGCCCTGTGGAGACACAAAATACAAGATCCAGGTTCTACAGACAGTTAGGAGGGAGGGCGCCTCTGGTACAGCTACTTTTTACCTTCAATAGATTTAATTTATTTTGGTCTGATTCATTTTGAAGTGTCAGAGTTACAAGATACAGAGTTTCTGTTGAAAATTGTTTAAAATCTACCAGAATTTATGAGCAAGAACCAGTTTTTCTGACAAGAGTTTACATCCAGTAAAAGATTTTGCTGCACAAACTTCAACATTTTTTTTTTTTATTATTTTTTTTTATTTAGCCTTTATTTATCCAGGTTAGTCTCACCTGAAGAAAATTTACATGAAACAGCAACTCTGCTCCAGTTTTATACAAAAAATAAGAATATTTATAAACCGTTGTGGCACAGAATTACACCAGAAAGAAATGTACTACAAATACAGAACTGTGTTGACTTACCGGTAAACACTGTAAAAAATCTATATCAAATTAAGCAAAGCTGTTTATTCAGTGGAGGCTTTGGACTATAACGCTTTTCGGTGTTGTGGGTTTGCACCCAAGTGGAAATAATTTAAACGACGTGTTTAAAAAAAAAAAAAAACAAGTAATAAAACTATTTTAGGACCTTTGGAAAGTCCAGCTTTGTCTGCAGAGGCCTGCTGCAGATGAGAAATATAAAGTAGCAAACGTTTGCTAAACTGAGCACAATGTTTTGTAGACGTCGAGTACATCGGTCAGGTCTCACCTGGGTAACGAGGTGATCTTCCCCCACTTCTCCACACAGAACCTGCGGGGTCCGTTGCTGCCCCGTAATGAGGCGAAGCCCTCGTAGGGAATACTGGAGGTGCCCGTCACAAACTGCAGCCGAACAAACCACAACAGGAAGAGGAAATATCAAAACGGGTACTATTCATGGCTTTAAAGTAAAAAAACATAATGTAACCCAGACAAACATTTTAGTGCATTTATTAAATTCTTGAAATATGTGACTGTTTAAAGAAAATTTAAAAACTCTTTAAGTTAAATATGTTGTAAATATAGCTACAATTGTATTTCATTTATGCTGTAAAATGCTTAAAAACTGCTTAAAAAGCACAAACATAAGTTAAAAGCAAGAAAAGCATAACATTTTGTTGATGTATTTTATTTCTGCTTTATTGTGAAAGCCAAAGGAAGCGTGAGCAGTCAGGGGGTACATCTTGATGAGAGTGACTGGGAGCCAGTCACACCAGAGGCAACAGGTGCTGCAGCTTGGAGAAATTAAATGAGTTTCCTGATTGTTAACACAGTGATCAGTAATGGATGCTTGTTGGTTGGTTTTTGGGAGCAAAATGGACATTTCAGCTTGAAGTTTGTCCTGAAGTTCTTTGTTTTTGCACTTTGAGACGGTTTAACATTGAACATTTAGCATGCGCTAGCTAAGTGACCCAAAATGGAAGAAGCAGGTAAAGATGATGGATGGATGGATAGCTAAGTGAATGCTGCACAGGAATCCTAGTTTAGCTTGTTCAGCTTACTAAGGAGACTGCCTCTTCATCTTTCCGACCTGGATGTGAAGATTAGTCATAACTGGAGTGTTTATGGACTGCCAGAAGAGTGCCTTTGGATTATACACGTTTTTCTTTCCTACTCCCGGACATTGCCCATTGGAGTTAAACCCTGGACCAGCAGAAGGATGATTGCATCACCACCATAGAACATCGTTTGGTTTTTCTCTTCACCTGAACTGGGACCAGAGTCTGAATGTACTGAACTACTAAACCAGCACTGTTTTGTTTTATTTATTTGCTCAGAGTGAAACAGCCATTAAGTTTTGGCCTCACCGCTCCCAAGCTTCGCTCAGGCCTGCAACTTTAAGGTTTTAGAGCTGGATAGGCCGGCAGGTGTCTGTGTGTTTGGTGAGTGGGCCCCTCCCATATAGTTGAATATTTACAGTGACATCTGACTACAGATGCAGTTTTGTTTTGTATTGTGTAAGTTGTTCAATGTTTAAAGATGCATTAAGTAAACTGAGTTCACATTTACCTTATGGTTTGGTTATTTTTAGTTTAACGGAGCGTGTGAGTGTGTTCATGACCACGGTGTGTATTGAAAGGAAATTAGGAGAGGATATGTTAAACTTGAAGTTCAGCAAATTAAACGAGTAGTTAACGGTTAAGTCTTTAATGCTACATATAAGAATCTAGGAGGCCCTTACCTGGTACCGAGGGTAAAGGTGGGCTACAATAATAAATACAATGCAGCTGAACTTTTAATCTAGTCTTTTAATCTCATTTAGATAAGTGTGTGTGTGTGTGTTTGTGGTCTCAAACTTCAGATTTTAATGAAAAAAATAAATAAAATAAAATAAAAACCAACTAGAATTTGATGTTGGCACAGATAATAAGCTGTAAGAAAGACAAAAACTGTAAAGCTAATAAGAATCCATCAAAACTTTAGTCTTTCAAACTAAATGTGAATCACAGCTAATTTTTTGTGCCTACTGCCTAACTAAACTTACGTCCACAACAGTCACCACAGTTAAAGATAACCATCACAGCTAACATGCCAACAAAAACATGACAATCCCGCAGTCTGTGTGACAATATGATGAGCTAAACTTTGGTGTGGTAATAACAGTCATCCACAACACGTACTCCAGCACACCTATAAGCTGACCATATCAAACCTACAAGCTACCCTTAGCAAGCCTACAACATAACAATAGCAAAGCTACAAGCTAACAATAGAAATGCTACAAGCTAATATTAGCAAAGCTACAAACTAACATTAGCAAAGCCACAATAGCAAAGCTACAAGATATTAGTGGCAAAACTACAAGCTAAAATTAGCAAAGCTACAAGATAGCATTTGCAAAGCCACAGGCTAACTTAGCAAAGATACAATAGCAAAGCTACAAGCTAACATTAGGCAAGCTGAAAGCTACCATTAGCAAAGCTGAAAGCTAGCATTAGCAAAGCTGAAAGCTAGCATTAGCAAAGCTGCAAACTAGCATTAGCAAAGCTGCAAACTAGCATTAGCAAAGCTACAAGATAGCATAAGCAAAGCTACAAGATAGCATTAGCAAAGCTACAAGATAGCATTAGCAAAGCTACAAGATAGCATTAGCAAAGCTACAAACTAACATTAGCAAAGCTACAAACTAGCATAAGCAAAGCTACAAGATAGCATAAGCTAACAGCAGCAAAGCTGCAAGCTACCATTAGCAAAGCTGCAAGATAGCATTAGCAAAGCTACAATATAGCATTAGCAAAGCAAAGCTACAAGCTAACCTAGTAAAGCTACAATAGCAAAGCTACAAAACATTAGCAAAATTACAAGATAGCATTAGCAAAGCTAAAAGCTAAGCTAGCAAAGCTACAAGCTAACATTAGCAAAGCTTAAAAAAAAAAGTCCATGTTCAATAATCCAGGTATACAATCCAACAATTTTCAGTCAGTTCATCCTGATGCGACTTCCTGCGACAGCTGAAGAAGGCCAAGCTGCCGGCCAAGCTGATGGTGCAGTTCTACACAGCCATCATGGAGTCCATCCTCAGCTCCTCCATCATGGTGTGGTACGCCGGGGCCACTGCCAGGGACAGACTCAGACTGCAGCGCGTTGTGCGCTCAGCTGAGAAGGTGATCGGCTGCAGCCTTCCATCCCTCCACGACCTGTACGTCTCCAGGACTGTGAGGCGAGCAGGTCGGATCACAGCTGACCCTGCACACCCTGCACACGGACTGTTTGAACCACTCCCCTCAGGCAGGAGGCTTCGGTCCATTCGGACCAGAACCTCCCGCCATAAGAACAGTTTCTTCCCCTCTGCTGTTGGACTCCTGAACACTCATAATGCTACCTCATAACTTCTGCTTTGGTCACATTACATCTGTATTATAACTGAATACTCCATCTGTACGGTTCTCTAAGCTTTTTTATTGTTTTCTATTGTATGGGTGTACACATGGTTATGTTATGTTTTTAATTTTACTTTATTTGTGGGTGTACACAGGCTTATGTCTTATGTAATGTTCTCATTTTTACTTAATTTTTACTTTATTTTACTTTACTACTATTCGCACCTTATGTCGAAGCAAATTCCTAGTTTGTGAACCTCGTTCATTGACATGGCGATAATAAACTGATTCTGATGATGAGCTGTTGGCTTTCAGAAACTGTGCCCCCTGTGCAGTTTTGTTGAAAAGCCCTGCCCTAAGACCTCATGGGCCATTTTGACCCAAGGGCAGCAGGAGGGTTAAATCACTTCCTAATTGACAAAATAAATTTGTTGACATTTAGACAACTCTCCACCTTTTCAAGAGGTTTTTGTTTTCTTTATTTTCCTTTAATTAACTAGACTGGATCAGAACGTTGTGATGTTCTGTAACGACCCAACTGCAGCGACACCTCACTCGAAGCATCATGCCGGCCTCCACTGGGGGGTGCTCAGACTCACCTGCAGCAGCCGCAGCCTCTGCTCGTTGTTGAACCTCTCCACGGCCGCCCAGAACCAGCGGATCACTATGTGGTTGTCATGGTAACCTGAGGGGTAGCGACATGATGATGGTGCATGAGTCAGATGAATAACAACGAAGGCCTCCTCCTCCTCCTGCCTCTCTGCAGCGTTTTGTGACCAGGTTCTGCTGTTAAATCTTTAATGGACGGAGCTGCTTGGACCGTCTCAGTCGATTTTATTAAACGTTTCAAACGTAACGCTCTGACCCTCCAGGAGTGTTTTAATGCCTTGGCCTCTGCTCAGAGTGAGCTGAAACAACAAACAGGTGGAAAATTAACGGTTTTATATAAATTATTTCCACTCGAGCTCTCATTTTCTAAACGGCAAGTAAGTAAACCAGCACTGATCAGTTTCAGGAGGTAATCCATGTTTTATCTTCATAAATAACCTAAATAGATTTAGTTGTTTTGCAAGTTTAAGACAAACTGATAAAGAAAAAGGATTCCAGTTGTTTCTTCCCGTGACATGAAGATTTAAACATGAACTAGGAATGAAATGCAACCACTCAACCTTTAACTGTTTAGTTTTACTTGTTGAAAAACATAAATCGGAAGAGAAACACCCTGAGAACTCTTCACAGCAGATTCACCCTGAAGGTCAGACCGTGCAGTGACTCTACAGGTCTGTCAGCAGGTCAAGGGTCATGACCTCTTCTCTCTACAAACAAGATAGCAGCACCACTTAGGTTTGGAAAGTTTCATCTGAAGGAACCAAAAGACTTCTGGACCAGAACCAGATGTTTACCCAGAATGCATTGCAGCAAACGGCTCCTCCCAGCTGTCAGCACAGTGGTGGAGGGTGATGGTTTGGGCTCCTGTAAGTCACTGAGTGGACCAGGAAATCCTCTGTAGACCAAAGTGTTCTGGAGGCAGATGTAATGGGTCAAAAGGAACAGAACCAACAGTCCAGTCAGAGCCCAGAACCTCAGCCTGACTGAAATGCTGGTGGACCTTCAGAGAGCTGAGCAGAACCGTCATCTGAAGCAACGTTCGAAAGAAGAGTGGGCCAAAAGTCCTCCACAACCATGTGAGACTGACTGAAAGCCACTCTGAGAGTTCTTGCTGCTAAACGGGTTCGACAAGCTGCTGGATCAGGAGCGTTACAGTACAGTTAAAAGACCTGAAGAGGACCAGATGACTGGATTTGAGTCCCAACGAGTAAAACCTGGACTGAAAGAGGGTGCTCTTACTTCAACTACCATAACTCAACATCTGTCAGACACGTTCTAAGGAAAGGGACCAGAAAAAAAGAAACCCAAACACTTGATTTGTCCTTCGCTGCGTTCACCTGGGGTCTCGCCTCTCTCCTGCCCTCCAGTCTGACGTACCTCCTCTGTACTCGGTGTTGTTCCTCCAGTCCGCCAGGTCGATCTCTGCAGTGCCGGCGATCACCAGTTCCAGCTCCCTGGCGTCGAACACGGACACCAGCCGAACGTCTACCACCTGACAACAAACAAACAAGGAGCCAGTGGGTGAAAAGGGTATAGTGGTACTGGGGTCTCTTTATTTCTCACAAACCTCCTCGTCTTGTCCAGCAGATTGAAGGGTTTAAACTGAGCCAGTGTGTTGCAGTAAGTGAGCTAAGCTCTTTTGGACCGGTGACATGCTTTTGTCCTGCACATATTGGCCTTAATACGCAATTATTTCTCTATTCTACTAGAAGTTGTTGTTCGTGACACGTGAAAACTCCTAATTACCTAAAAAAAATTACATATGTTTATTACATTTTTCACCTAAGGACGTCACTACTATTTTACTGGAGCAATGCATTCTGGGAGGATGCGTTTATCGGTTGTAGTAGAGACTAAAACATAAGGAGTCAAGACTAAAAGGTTACAACGTGACAATAGTTATATTTTATATTAGTCCTTATGCACAATATAATTGAAACAACCAAACAACTTGTGATGTTTAATTTATTAGCTCTGAAGCTAACACCAAATTATTACCTTTTGGAGCTAACGCCTGGTATATTAGCTCTGAAGCTAATACCAAATATATTAGCTCTGGAGCTAATGCTATTAGTTATTGGTCATTTCTACATTCTTCTGTCACTGTGCTGTTTCAAATTCAAAGGCTGAACAACAGATAATGTATAAAATTAACATTCAAGCTGAATGGAGTTCGCACCAGTGCAACCTATGTCACTTACCCAGAATGCATTGTAGCATGAATAGAATGGCAACGTTTGTGTCAATAATTTCTAAGGTCCTTTGGTCCAACTCATCTGAGACCCCTTTAATAAACGACTACAAAGGACAAATCTTTGTTCTTCATCTCAGCCTTTTACCTCGTAAAATCCTCGGACTAGACTCTCGGTCTGCTGTGCAACGCCACGCTCTATTCGCCACTTCACCATTCGCTCGATGTACTCCTTCTTGTTCTTCTCGGATACAGGGATACCGGCCCCGCCCGGCTTCAGCTCTCTCTCTGTGATCTGCAACGTCACAGGCAGATATTTATAGTGAGGAAATCTGTTTTCAGCACGACACAAACTGTAAACAAACACACACCTGTCCAAAAACCTCCTCGTTGACAGTGAAAGTGAGGTCCAGCATGTCCTCAATGTCATTGTCCTTCATCCACTGCAGGCTCTGATGGAACTCCTCATCAAGGAACTCCAGGTCACTTAAATCACACGAGCTGTAGGAACAAAACCATTCGAGGGTTCATGAGCATGTTCCTAAACTGAAGATCTGCTTCTTTGTGATGGAACATCTCAAGACTGTTAATTCTGAAAAGACAAAATACACACAGGCCATACTCAGTTCATCCAACTCAAATCCTTCAGATCCCACTCTACCCATCACTTCAGGTGTGCCTCAGGGCTCTATCCTGGGGCCTCTTCTTTTTATATCTTTCCCATGGCGGAATTTTTCATAAATTCAACACACATTTGGTTTACTGACACCCAGCTTTTATCCACCTCACCATGCCGTCCCTTCTGCTTCAGCCCCATAGGAAACCAAGCTTTGTTCCACTCCGTTTACCATGTCAGGAACTCTCTTCCTCGACAACGACGACTCTCTTCCTGTCTTTAAAAATTCCAGCTCCAAACTCATCTGTTCTAGTCCACTCATTCTAATTTCCTTGATCATTTTTGTTTAAATTTGTAACTGTAAAGTGCTTTTGTATAGAATTGTTTTACATTTATTAAATGTCCTTGGATTTTATTGAAGGCACTTACAAATAAAATTATTATTTTTATCCATATTGACATTTACTTGAATCTAACAACAATATATATATTTAAAATATTTTACTTAATGCAATAAAATACCAATGTAGGTTTAAATGGAAGATGAGAGACGGAAAAGATACCTTGTTTATCTTGTTATTTTGAGATAACGGCTTCTTAATTTTATCCCAACATAAATTACGTAACTTGAATCTGGAGATAATGACTTAAGGCATTTTCAAATAATGTTTACAACAATTTCAAGTCAAATAAACAAAACCTTTTCTGCCTGATGAATGTTTAGGAGCAGAAGTGTGGTTTCAGGGACGCTCGTTTATCATTTCAACACCTTTCCATGGAGCAGAGGTTTGATTTTAGGTTGTCTGGACAAAGTGTTTTAGTGAGTCGGCTCCAACCAGCTGCTTCGGTTTTCAGAAGAAACACTCACATACGAAGGAGACCTTTGTAGAACGGCCGTGTGAAGAACGCGTCCAGCAGGTACTGATGAACCAGAGCCAGTCCCAGGATGCGCCCGCTGAAGCGAAACCTGGACCCAGCATGAAAACAAAACACACACTCGTGGGCTCAAATCATTAAACTGTCTGAGATGTATGTTTTTTAGCCTGAATAATAAAAAACATCTTTGTAAATGTTTACAGGGGAGCATTCTGCTGCCTCTTTCCCTCAATTCAAGTTTGAATCTAACAGGCTTGAACACAAACTTGATTAAATCTTACTGCGTTTAGAAAAGTGATAATGAGATTTGCACCCAGATCAGAGGCGATATCTGCAACAACAACAACAACTAGCCACAAGAAATGAGCTGATTGAGCAGCCACCGCCCATGGCTCACCATTCATGGTGGTTGTCCACAAAGGCAGACATGGGGCTGATCTGCACCGTGTACGTGTCGTTAGCCGAGTACTCAAACAATCCGTAGTACGGGTTGAAAAGTTCTCTGGACACCAAGAAGAAAAACTCTCTCGAGGGTCCACTGTAGTCCAGCCTGCAACAAATAAACCATAAAACATGTATGAACTGTTGGAATTTGTTTATTTCATCAGGATTCAGAGTTTCCTGTGTAAACGCTGAGTCAGCATTCACACGGTTTTATTAACCCTCCTGCTGCCCTTGGGTCTGGGTCGTTTTGACCCTAGGGAAGCTGGAGGGTGAGTTACAACCCATGTACTGTCTACAACCTGACTTTTTCTCACCCGTCCTCGCCCACGAAGCTGACGTAGAGTTTACTCCTCTGCAGGTCTTTACGGGAATAACACATGATCTGGTTGAAGGCGTCCTCCAGCAGATGGTCTCGGCGTATGATGAGCCTGGGAGCAACAAGTGGTGTCAAAACAAACACACGTCTCCAGAAGTCAACGTTTGATTCAGAAGGAAAAAACGACTCGCTAGATATAAAAATGCATATTTTCAAAATTTCTAAAACTACTTTCCTAATATTCATGGAAACATTTTGTCTTTTTGGTTATTGGTGATGTGTTGTCAAATCTAGGTTACTGTATTTTCCACCGTACACGTCGTTTCGCCCTACAAGTTGCATCTATTATGCGTCACTGCTTACAGCCCAGAAACATGGGACAGTGTTGTGCCAAAAATCGACTGGCTGCCAAATGGTGGCCGCGGGAGCGTGCACGGGAGGACTTTAACAAGAATTTAACAAGATTAACATTTTAAAACAGTTGTTTGCTCGAAATTATAGCAAAGGTGTGTCTCAGTTGAACTTTTCCTTAATAAATGCACTTTGATGATCAAACCAGCTTCATTTCAAAAGCAGATTTGCAGAAGCAGGAGCCCACAGAGGGAGAACTAGCTGTGCATTTCATTGAAATTTAACGAGATAACCACCTAAAAACAATAATTTGTTTGCTCAACATTACAGTAAAGGTGTGTCTCAGTTGATAAATGCACCTTAATAGTCAAATTAGCTGCATTTCTCCAGGGCGGTGCAGCAAAATGAACCTGATTTGACGGTTGCTCCAGGCAGACGACGGCGTCAGGCTACGGAAAGCCGATTGTGTCCTTAATAGTCATTTTTACCTATTACACGATACAATGGCATGCCATACTACTTGAGTGCCATCTAGTGGCTGAAAATGGTAGCGTTCAATATTTTCAGCCAGAATGAATGAAAATGGTCATATCTCAGTCAGAAATTGGTTTATAAATATGGGGGGGGGGGGGGGGGTTTCCATAAATAAGTCGCAGAGCATGTAAATTATGCAAAAAACTGTGACTTATAGGCCGGGAAATATGGTAGCTACTTTACCAGTAATGATCTGTGACATAAGATTACAACAAATAGTGTTAGCTGGCTGCTCTTGGGTCAAAATCCTCAATTTTAAAATTGATACCTCAGGTGTTATTTTGACCCAAGGGCAGCAGCAGGATTAAAGCAGCACTAAATAGGCTAGACGACCACTAAAGGGATATTTAAACCTAAAGAATTCCACATAGAAAGACTCTGGTCCAAACTGGGGATTGAACCCAAGACCTACTTTTAGTGTGAGACAACAGCGCTAACCACTGAGCCGTCATGCTGCCAATTACAGATTTTACACATCCTTGTCTTCCACCATAGCATCTCTCACTAAAGGTGTCCCATTTTGTTTTTGTACGAGTAGTTTAAACAGTGGCATCAGATCAGCGTTTCTTCAGTCATGATGGTTAAACGTACTTTACTTTACCCGGCCCCTGTCCATAACCCTTCGTCTCCAGCTTTCGATAAAAGTTCCTCAATTTCGCTTCGAAGTCCCGTTTATAGGGAGCAGGAGCTCTGGCGTTGGCTCGCTGAGTACCTGGAATATAAAAAATAAATAAAATCAAGGACACGGGGACAATATTAGGGGGAGGGAAACCATAAAATAACTGTCCGACTAAATGGAGAAGGACAGACAGGCAGATAATCAGGAGATTCAATGAAGCTGAGCGTATAATCAGAAGTATTGTATGCAGGTTAATCTGGGATTGGGTTCAGAGAATTTTAGTTTTTATCAGCTGAAAGAAACCATTAATCTGTTTACAGAGGAATTTGATATATTGAACGTTTATGAACTGTACATAATGGGATATTTAACGTCTTCCCAATTTACCATTAAGGAACATTATTCTGATGTTGTTCCAATATTTTTACACAGACTGGTGAACTTCCATATCCTTGCTTCCAAAATGCTCTTTTTATACTATTTTATACAAAATAAATGGTAAAACTGCCAGTTGTCTAAAAAATGTTAAAGGTTTACTTTTGCTTTGAAAAATGAGGCTTTTTATGTCTCGTGTTTTATACAGCTAAGAACTGCTCAAGTCTTTTTATCACTAATGTTTTTGCTTCCACAGAGCCAATGTCCCAAATAAAACTAAATTATATGAATACAATAATGTCTATTTGTGGTTTTATATTACCTTGTCACAAAGAGAGACGCTGACAATAAATATTTTATCACATATTTTGTAATAAAACAGCTCAGGTAATAAAAGAGCGAGAATCTAATATGAAAGTTTGAGTGTTAAAACAAAGCTTCGCTCTTTTTTTGGGGGGGGGGGGTGCAGACAGCGACACAGAGATTTACCGGGGGAGCTCTGAGGAGAAGAGAGGCAGTAACCTGGGTGGAGTAACGACGGCACGTACGACATCACTTCCTCCTCAAAAAGGCTGAAGACAAGAGATGAAGGTAAACAAAGTCAGAGTCGAGCAGCTATAGACAGAGAAAATCGCAGAAAGACGTCGGTCACAACAACAGTGAGAAATTAGGTGAGACCTCCAGGTATGGGACAAGACGACGTGTTTAATCACTCATCTTTCATCCCACATTTTGACTGGACCTGTCTTCTAAAAGCTGCTACAGTAAAACATATCCTCCTTCAAAAGATTTGGATTTTATCAAACAGAAAGTAAACTGGAAATGCTCTGAACACGTTTTATTATGTAACAAAATAAGCAAATTAAACTGCCCAGATTCAAGCGAACTGCGATGGAAACTAGGACAAAAATAAAAACTAGAAAGTTCCTGGAGAAACACCAAAGTTCATCTCAATAATCCAGGTAAAAATCCAACAGTGTTCAGTCGGGTCGTCTGGACGGTTTCTTTTGTTGCTGTGACGTTTCGTCCTTCATCCAAAGGACTTCTTCAATCTGAAGAGCCACCAAACAAACTGATTCACACAAACAGCACTCCATAGTGGACAACAAACAGTTTGCTGGTGCTCCCTCCTGGAGAAACTTTGACAGGGACTGCCACGCTGCTGCCAAATTAAAATTTTGATTTGACAGAGCTAAGTGTTTGGGTTTGCTCTCGGCTACCACTATAACAAATTTCAGCTGAATAGCTCTAAAAATGGCTGTTATCATATTTTTCCTTTTTAGCTCAGGCGGCCATCTTGGTATTTTGATTTGCATTAGGATTGTATGAAAACTTACTCTCAGCTACGACCGGAGCAAATTTCAGTTTAATATCTCAAAGAAAGATTGAGTTACAACAGTTAGAGTCTGTTGAGTTCTGTCAGGCATTTTGAATTAGAAAAATGGCTTATTTGTTTGTAAATTACAGGTAAATAATAACAGGTGCTGTCTGCAAAAACAGCTACAAGAAACATAATCATGTTTAAACCACACCAAGTTAGCAGCAGCTGAATTACCGGTGTTTAACATTTATTAAGTCATCATATTAACCGTTAATCGTTCTCCTTTTCATTATTAAACCATCAGATTAACTAACCGTCGTTCTCCTTTTCATTAACTATTAAACCATCAGATTAACCACTGTTCTCCTTTTTCATGGAGACTGAAAAATATTCACTGCCAACAAAAAAAGTTGCATCTCAAAAATATTTATTGAAGCGACGGTTCATTTTTTCTAAAGTTGGAGCGCATGGACAGGTTGTGTTTATAGCTCTTTGAAACATCTCAGTTTGGAGAAATGAAGTTTATTTCTAACCAGATCTACAAACTAACAGCTACACACAGCAGGGCCTCCACTAAAGTGGATTACTTCCACCTTAAAATAACTAAAATCTCTAAAAGTTCAGAGCGGTTTAGGCAAATTATATTTTTTATAAACTTTAAACCTTTACAGTTTGGTTTTAAACTATATTCACGTAGAAGTTGTAACTATTTGCACAGCAATTTGTTGGAAACGGCAGCTAACTGAAGGAAATCTAAAGCAGCCTGTAAACATTTTTTAATTCCCATTGAGAAATTATTGACAATATAACAGTTTAAAATAATAGTATTTAAATAAACCACCATAAAACTTTAAAAACTTTTAAAATTGGAGTTGTTTTCATTCACTTTGGAATTAGCCATTAACTAAGATTAGCCATTAGTCCAGATTAGCCATCAGTTAAGATTAACCATTAGTTCAGATTGATCATCTCAGATTAGTCATTATCTAAAACCAGCCCTTTTCTCTACTTAGTCATTAGCTTGGATTAGTCATTTATTTTGATTAGCCATTAGCTCAGATTAGTAATTATCTTGAATTATCCATTTTCTTAGATTAACTATTAGTTCTGATTAGCCGTTATCTTGAATTAGCCATTTTTCTCAGATTAACTATTACCTTAGTGTAGTGAATAGCCTGAATTAGCTTTTGACTTTATTTATCTAATTTCTAAGATTGGCCATTAGCTTGAAATTGCCATTAGCTAAATTTAGCCATTAGCTTAGATTAACATTAGTTTTGATTAGCCATTAGCTTGGAGTAGCCATTAGCTAAATTTAGCCATTAGCTTAGATTAACATTAGTTTT